AGGGGTCTTCTGAATCACTCTTTGTCTGGTCCCTCACCCAGGACCAATTTGCCATGGGAGACCCTACCAGGGGGCAGAAGCCCGTGGACAACATAGCCCCTGGGATTCCTGGGACACACAAACCCCTCCACTACGATAAGGTAGCAATTCACAGGGGGGTCTGCAGCACCGGGAGGAGGCCCCAAGGCAAACCCAGGACACGCTGGACAGATCATATCTCTCGGCTGGCCTGGGAACGCCTTGGTGTTCCCCCGGACAAGCTGGAGGAGGTGGCTGGGGAGAGGGAGGTCTGGGCTTCTCTGCTTAGGCTGCTGCTCCCACAACCTGGCCCCGGATAAGTGGAAGACGATGGATGGATGGATCTTTAAATATATTCAAACGGTGAAGCAACTAAAGCATGTAGGAATAAACAGAAGAACTATTTTCCTCCTTAAGAACAAAACTATGTTAACGGGATCTTTAGTTCCTCAGTGGAAGCAGCTGACTGATCAGTTCTTTGCGCTGCGCACACGGTGCATAGAGCATCCTTCTATAAAGATATTCTTTTAAATTTAAAGCAAAGCACGTTCAGACAGAAAACATCCTGCATTAAAGTAACTCAATGTAAACTTTTAAACTTATCACTATTGTACATGTTGAGCTGAACCATCCAAACTTTCTTATTACTGAGGAAATGAAAAGACTCCTTCAAGGAGGCACAGATCTTGATACCAAGGCTGGTATTAGGTTTACTTCTAAATTACTTTTTCACTCTCCAACCCTACACGGGCAGGTTTGAAGAGCTTATTTCACTTAATTTCACTTAAAGGAAATCATCATTTAAAAACCTTATTTTTTATTTACTCTGATGATCTTTTTCTAATATTAAAATTTATGTGTGACATGTGCAAAAGGAAGAAAAACAAAAAAAACAATACGCTGTCCACACAATATACAGTGTATTTGCGTAAAAAGAAAAAGAGCATAATGTAAATGTAATTCATAAAGGTGGAAACTCAAAACTGTTCTTTATATTTAGAAGAAAAAAGTTTATATATGAGCATAGGGAGTGCAAACTACAGTGCTGTACAGACTCCTAATTTCAGATGTTTTTGCTTCATCTACTGCATCTCTGTTTATGTTTGCATGTGTTTCAATAAACCTGTTTCTTATTTTTCTGGCAAAATATAAAGAAATTAGGTGTCGGTCAAGATTGAACCTGACTGCAACAATGAATTCACGTGAAATGCACTCACATCTTTCTCTTTGTGGCTGTACATGTAAACAGTGTTTGTGCGTGCCTCTGCATTTCTCTGAGTGGAATACAGTGCATCACACAGTACAAATAAAAGAGGTTAAACTTCAGCTTCCAATAGCCTGAGTGCAAAGTTAATGCCACCCTCTGTAGAAAGTCCTCCTCCTGTAGCAGGAGCCCCATTTACTGGAGACTGTTTGAAGGGCAGCAGGTAAAGAAGAGGAAGGCACCATGGCAAACGCTTCAGATCAGGTAACATTTCGGAAAGTTGTAGAAGGAAACAGTAAAACTTAAACGATAGAACATGACGAATGTTTCTGACGGTAGATTGATAGCACTGGAAATTATCTCAGGGTTCAGTGGCCACAGGGTCAAACCGTGATCTTTAAAGGTTAGTTTTTAAAACATTTCTAATTCCTCACAAAGTAAAAGTCTTTTTTTAATTTGATGTTGTAGTACTCGTGTACTTTCAGACAATATCTGATTTCAGATTTTTTTAATTAATGTTGGAATACGGAGATATATTTAACAAGCTCCTGCAAATGCACACAAGAAACTTCACTGCAAACTATCCAAAGACAACATTTTAAAGGGATAAGAAATATTATATTTGTAGCTCTAAGATGACACTGTGGCACGAAACACCTCTACCACTGGAAACTGTTTAAGTGTGCCATCTTATTACAACTATTTCTCACACATGCAGAAAGTGGAGTTTGTGCGAACAGGTTACGGCAAGAAAACGGTGAAGGTGCTGGTCGTCCGGAGGCAGGGAAGACAGCATTCTATCATTGAGGTGAAGGCTGATGTGGAGCTCACGCTCAAGTCACGCAAAGATTATCTAACTGGAGACAACTCAGACATCATCCCTACTGACACCATTAAAAACACCGTCCACGGTTTGGCCAAGCTCAGAGGGGTGAGTCTAACACTGTTTTGAAGAACAGGGAAGACCCGTTATTGCTATTTCAACTGCTAAAATATTTGTTATTGAGGTCTTTTACAGCCTGTCAACCTGCTTGTTTCTCTGTTCAGATAAAGAACATCGAACAGTTTTCCCTGGATATCTGCAATCATTTCCTAACCTCTTTTAACCATGTGCTGAAGGCCAAAGTTTACATGGAGGAAGCTCCGTGGAGAAGGCTGGAGAAGGTAAAACACAGGACGGTGCAGCTTCACAAGAGTTGACCTTTTTAACAGCTATTTGAGCAGCAACATAAATCAAGTGCACATTAACCCGATCAAATGTTGCAGGTGATAATCCATCGTAAAACATGACCCTTGTCTTTTTTCTCTCTCAGAGTGGGGTAGAGCATGCTCATGCGTTTATATTCAGCCCAGAAGCTTACCGCTTCTGTGATGTTGAACAGACTATCGGTGGTAATCACACACTCTCACAAAAACACGCAAACAGTGTATTTGCTTACATGCTATCCAAGCTGTCATTGGACAGTGACGGACTGAATACACTCTGGTTTATTAACAGTATTAATAATAATAATTATTATCATTATATTAATTCAAGTTTTGTATTTTTTTAATTTAGAATTTTTGTTTCCAGTTTAGTTTCCAAATTACTTTTGCTCCTTTTAGCAACGTTTTCATTGTTAGTTTTAATTATGATTATATGGAGGCAATTTGTCAGGAGACAAAATTAAAGCTTTTCAGAAGATCTTACACAAATACAGCACCGTTTAATCGCATGTCATGATCCCAAGTCTCAATAAATAGCTGGACCAAAGTGTGGTTGGCTGAATGTGTAAACACAGACAAGCACATTTCTGCTATATTTTTAAATTAGTTTTCTTAACATACAATTATTTAAGTTTTTAATTTTCTTCCAAAGGTATAGACTTTTATTTAGATTTCAGTTACTTTAGTTTTTAAGTTTAGTGTTACCCTACGCTGGACAGATGACCAGTCCATCACCAGGGTTACAATAGTTTACAGCTAAACTTACGTGTGTGTTGGCATACTTTTGTCAGACAAAAACACCCCAACCAAGTAAGAGGTTCAAACCTGGAACCTTCTTGATGTGAGGTGACGGTGCTAATCACTGCACTATCATGATAGTTCAAACTACAGCAGGCGTGGGCAACTCCAGGCCTCGAGGGCCATTGTGTCCCTGCAGGTTTTAGGTTTTTTGAACCAACACAGCTGATTTAAACGGCTAAATTAGCTCCTCAACATGTCCTGAAGTTCTCCAGAGGCCTGGTAACGAACTAATCATGTGATTCAGGTGTGTTGACCCAAGGTGAGATCTAAAACCTGCAGGACACCGGCCCTCGAGGCCTGGAGTTGCCCACGCCTGAACTACAGCATGTAGGTAGGCCAAGATCTGATTGCTGAGCTCTGTTCTGCTGAAGAGGGCGTTCTCCCTTTGCAGCCTCCACTTGCTCAGTAGCCGGCAAATACATGTAAAAAACATCAGAGGTTAATGGCTGCCACAAATTACTTTGAGTCAAGTTTTAACTCTTGAAGCATGTTTAATAAATCAAAACGTACTATTTGACTTGTGGTGCAAATACTGTTAACAAAGGCAGCTAAAGCTATGACTAAGCCCTTGCACACTGCTCAATGGCACTGTTGATCACAGGTTCATGATTAGCACCATTTTCATAAGTTGTTTGCCATGTTTCACATCACTCCACCCTCACGGGCTGATCTGTGCTTCACGCAGGCATCCCTGTGGTCCACAGTGGGGTGAAGAATATGAAGGTGCTGAAAACCACCCAGTCTGGTTTTGAAGGTTTCTACAGAGACCGCTTCACTACTCTGAAAGACGCCAAGGACAGGTTTTTCTGCACCTCTGTGTACTCGAGGTGGCGCTACAACAAGATCCAGGACACTGACTTTGACGCTGCTTGGTAACTGCCCGATTTACGAGCGTCAAGAAAGACCTCAGCTGACGTATACCAATATAGTTCAAAGTTCATAAATATAGTTCACATCTGAAGCTTTATATTCTTCATTCTTATAGGAAGACTGTGAAGGAGACGATTATTGAGAAGTTTGCTGGCCCCTATGATCGCGGGGAGTACTCGCCCTCAGTGCAGAAGACCCTGTATGAAACTCAGGTTCTGGTCCTGGATCGACTTCCTGAGGTACTTCCTTTAGATCGTGAAATCATCAAACTCACAATCTTACCACTTTTTGAGATACATAAACTGTTTAGACAACTTCACAGTTGAAATCTCTGAGTCCTAAAAAAGGACAAACATGCAAATTACATCTCCACAGTTGTTGGAAATTGAATAAAAAGCTACATACTGTATATAACAGGCATGCTAAAGTACACATTTTCTTTTAGGTGGATGAAATAGAGATCATCATGCCCAATGAGCATTACTTCACCATAGACATGACAAGAATGGGTATTGTCAACAATGATGAAGTAAGTTCTGTTCTCACAAATGACCCTTCATATTCTTTAAATGATCGGGTTGTGGACATTGGTATCTTTTTCCCATCACAGGTACTCCTTCCTCTGGATAATCCCTCAGGGAACATAACGGGGACAGTACGCAGGAAGCAGCGAGCGCGGCTCTAACGGCGCCCACAGAAAGAAGGCCCTGCTGGGATTTAAACAATCTGAGTGGGCCGTTTAACGGAAAGATCCATCTGAATTAACCTTTCAAACAAATATTCCAACAACAGCAAGTTAATATTTGTAGCCTGACTAAAGCTCGTGATGATGTGATGTGAACCCAAATAAAATGAAACTAAAGACAGCGGCTGTTGATAAATTCATAAACTAACATTGATCTTTGGTGAGAAAAGAGCACCGTTTATTGCAAATCTCTGATTCGGATATTAAAACTCCAGTGTTATGCTGCACATGTACATTGGTCATACACACTTTTGAACAGTTGTCTGTGTGACAATGCTGAAAGCACCACAGGTTGATAGATAATAATAATAATAATAATAATAACAACAATAATAATATATACACATAAATATTTCCATATCAAGAGTCTCAAGCCTGAATAATGTAGATGTTCAGGAACAAGGTGGCTTTTGCTCGGGTCGTTGTGTCTGGGAAAACAAAGTGGTTCACGGTCACATGCTGAAGACGACTCATTGACTCAGATGCACATTTTAAAACATAGAAAGTTTCAGGGGGAAAAAGGGCAACGCACCAGAATCATTATCTGCATGTATCATAGTCTTTAGATGCGACAGAACATACACAGTTTTCAACTATAATATAATCTTATATACAAATACTTATTTTTTTAAACCTTCATGGGTTAATTCATTTTGCACTCACACACATACACAACATACACACATGCACGCACACAAAAACCATACCTGCAGAGTATTTTCCCCAAATTTTCTTCTTTTAAATAAAACACAAAAAAATACAAAAATACAAAAAAAAAAATCTCAAGCAGCAGATATAAGAATGGCTGAAAGGGTAAACGGCTGAGTGGACACTGTGTGCAACCCATTTTTGGGGTCCACGCTTATATAAAAAGAACACAAACAAAAAGAAAACATACAGCATTCAAAAATCCTGTTAAGAAGCCACTGTGGGCTGAAAAGTCTCTGCGAAACGACGGCTAACCTGGGCTCTCCTGACACAATGATTGTCACAGACGTGGGTGCTGGGACGGCCTGCGGCGCTACGAGGCGTTGCTTTTCAGGTGCTGAGTCTGTAGCGGCTTCACGTGATACTCGTAGATTTTCAGTGCGGGGCCGAGCTTTATCGACAGCCCCGTCAGGACGTCGTTACGCGTCATCAAGAGCAGGGACTTACCATCAATTTCCTGTCAGATAAAGACAGAAATTCTAGTTTTCCCTAGTTTGTCAGCATCATGTGGCAGCAATTTTGAGCAGGAAATAACAGTCAAACCTGATCCTGGAAAGCCATGGCTTGCTCCTCAAACCCTGTTGCTTTGAAATAATTGACAACATCAGCAACTGCCCAGTTGGAAGGGTCCGGCAGCTGACCGTTCTCCACTGGGCTGTAAGGTGAAATTAAATGTATTCATCTTAATATAAAATGTATGCTTAATTTTAAGAGCAGCTTAAAATATCTAAAATAGTTTGTCAATCAACAAGATCCTACACACCTCTTAGTGTCAACTGATCCATTTGCCTTGTCTTCCATGTCGGCTGTAGCTTAAAAAAATAAAAATAACAAGAAAATTACAAAAGCAAAAAGAAACTATTCAGTCAATTTGAAAATTACAAGTATTTTCTAAAATGCTTTTCATTTTCCAATTCTCTTTCAAATTAGAATAAACAGGCAAATGACTTCAAATGACTTGATACAGAGTGTAAAGACATTCAGTTTGCTATTAAAAGAATATGCAGAAACCTGCAAATATTTTGTTTAAAAACGTGTAAGAATATGAATTTGGTGGTTTTTTCCTTGCAAAAATGACACATTTTAATCGTGTGCGATCAAACTGTTCTCTGTCAGCTGGTTAACTTAACCAACTAAATGTCTGAGCTATTTTTTTACTCCTCTACTCCGTCAACCATTGTGATGGCAGGTATTTTGCAATTATCCGGCTACCAACGGGTTACACAAGCAACAGAAAAGCCCAAACACCTCACAGAGGAACCTTACACGACTACCTGATTAAACACAAGCGTTGCTAGTTTAATCACTGACTTAGGTGTAAGGAAACACTTACGATCTTTAACGTTACAGTAATTTTTCATCAGACGTCTTCTCTCGGGGAACTCAGTGTGCTGGCAGTTGAAAAACCCTCATTGTTTATCTTTCGCAGTCTGCCATTTACTGGATGTTTCTGCAGGAAAAACAGTTGTACAGTAAATAACAAAATTCATTTAATTTAAAAAACCCGAAACACAGCTAAAGAACAAAACAAATCCAATCGTTTCTGACTGACAACGGGGAGAGCTGTAGTGTGTGAAAATGACGACCAAAAACTCACGTTGTTAGCTGTATTAAAAACATAGAATTACATTAGAAACATGAAAAATAAATAAATAAAGTAAAAAAAATTACCTTATCAGAGAGGAGAGTTAAGAAAACAACGTTATGTTAAATGACGACAGATATTTAATCACTGCCACTTCGTATTCTGCGTTAACGCTAACGTTAAGCTACCAGGGGTAGTTAGCTAGGCTTGCTAATACAAAATTTAACAGTTACCTTGTTTTAGAGATTCGCGCTTTGACAGAAATGGCCCGCCCGACGTTTACACGTAGTTTAAATCTTAAAAAGTTTTCCAATAACTGCGATATTTTACAAATTATTAAACGACAGCGGTCGTTTGATAAAATCAAGATTTAATCAAGTAAAGCCAACTAGCCCCCTCTTCATCGCTTTCGCTTCCATCACCCACAGGGAACCAAAGAATCATGGGTAATGTAGTTTTGCGTCCCCAACGCCTTGGTTTGCAGTTCAGTGAGATTAGACACTTGCTGATGATCACCCAGGAGCAAACTCACAACCAAACTTTTTAATAAAAAGAATTTATTATTGTGACATATTCTTTGTTACATAAAATCTGCTACAGCAAAGTATACTCCCCTTGCAAACACAAATATATATGAGTGGGAAAACAAAAAACAAAAAACGTGTCAGCCGTCTAAATGATGTGCAAAAATTCCACAAACTAAATAGAGACACATTTCAGATTATTGATCCCATACTGGCACATGTGACTAGCTACAGAGAACTCATAAACGGATTTCCTGCAGTCAGGAGTGTGAGGTGGTTCAGGGAAAAAGTGCCGTCATTTACATGGAATCTGACAAAGATTACACAGATTGGGAAATAAAGGATACGGAGATACAGATGTGGAGAGATATGGATTTCCTACACAGTTTCTGGGAAGATTTACACACACACACACACACACACACACACACACACACACACACACACACACACACACACACACACACACACACACAAGTTCAGTAACAGGTTTGAGCTAAATGCTCTATTCA